ATATTAAAATAAATCCTATAAATAAGAGGGTTAAATACTTTTTAAAAATGTAAACTATAACAGAACTAGGAAAAATATGTGTTGTAAATTTATACAAAAAGATCCAGAAAGATTCTCATGAAAGTGTTTATGCTGTGTACTTCTGGGAAGCAGAAAGAGGTGTGGCAGCAATATTTTAAGGGAGAATATTTTAATTCTCACTCTGTACTGGTTTATATTGTTAAAGGTTTTTTCAAACAATTTTTTAAAAATTTGTTTTAAATTTCCTTTGATTCTTTAGTAGATAAAATACAAAAATGTTTAAGATAATTTAATCTTTCCCCAATTGTAGGCTGACTATTTAAAAGGAGATATTTTAATGCCAGACGTATTGAATAATAAAATCTATTTTCTCCTGCACAGTAACTTTGTTTTTTTCACCAGACAAGAAAAACATTTTTTCCTAGTCATTCCTTTCCTCTCATTTTCCCCCATTTATAATCATGAATCCATATTCACTCAATTTTAGAACTAAGCTCAAATCATAGTTCCACTATTTACATGCAGTATGATCATAGTCAACAATCTAATATTTTCGAGCTTCAATTTTCTTATGTGTAAAATGAGACTAACATAAATTAATTGGCTTAAGTATATATTCCAAAAGCTATCATCATATAATCTTTATAACTCTGTGAAATGCAGGTTATTTTTTTTTAACTTTATTTTTATTGTTGACACTTTAACACATGTCCCCATTCCCACCCCCTTTGCCCACCTCCATCCAGTCATCCAGTCCCTATCCCACTCCTTCCCTCTGGCCATAACCACACTATTGTGTCTATGGGGTTATGCATTGGGTTCCTTGGCTAATTCCTTCACCTTCTTTTGTCCAGTTCCCTCTTCCCCACTGACAGCTGTATCCATTTAAGTGTCTGGTGTAAATAGGTTTCAAAAATTTGTCTGCTTTGAATAAATTATACTTCAGCTAGTTGATAATATTATTTAACAACTAGCTACAGAAATCAAAAGTTGTTTCTAATCTTTTGTTTATATTAAGCACCAATTTACTTGTTGGTCCCTGAAATCACTGTTTGATCTTTTATTTTTGTGTGCTAGTACAAAATAGTTTAAATCCTGCTTTAAGTTGCCTCTATTGCATCATATCTTCTTAAGTAAATGGATCTGAGTAAAAGCTGTAAGCCACAATACTGGTAAATTGTGCAGATCCTTAACTTTGGCCTTTTTTTTCATTCATTTATTTAGCAAACATGTGAGTACCTACTAGAAGCAGGTCCTGTGCAAGATGCTGGTTATAAAAAAGTGAACAAGAAAGACATCACTTGTCCTTATGGACATCCTGGCAAGGAGGCAAACAAAAACAGTTAAAACTACAAATAAGTATATAAACTTTGTTAAACATTGAAAAGAACAGGATATTGAGACTAAAAGAGGACCTAATCATAAATGAATTACTTATATGGTACTGCATATAATATGACCTATAACAGTACAAAAATGAACTATCTTGCCTGGCTGGGCATGGCTCAGCGGTTGAGCATCGACCTAGGATCCAGGAGATCGGGGTTCGATTCCCGGTCAGGGCACATGCCCGGGTTGCGGGCTCGATCCCCAGTCGGGGGCGTGCAGGAGGCAGCCAATCAATGACTCTCATCATTGATGTTTCTCTTTCTCTCCCTCTCCCTTCCCCTCTCTGAAATCAATAAAGATACATTAAAAAAATAAAAAAAAAAGAACTCTTTCCCCCAAAGGTCATCTGGAAGAGTTTATTCAGGGGCAGAATAGTGTGGTGGCTGAGAGGATCAATTCTAGAGTTGATAGCCTGGTTTTACTTTGAACCAGCCTCTACTCATCAGTTTCGTGACATAAACAAGCCATATAAATTGTCTGTGCCTCAATTTCTTCATCTGCCATTGGGGAAAATACTAAGACCTTTCTCATAGAGTTATTATAAGAATTGAGTTAAACTCTTTTGTCTTATTTTGAAAACTATCAAACACACAGAAAAGTTAAAAGACCTTATAGTAAGTATTAACTCACATGAACCTGTATTTACCACGTAAACTAATATTTCTACAATGCTTAGAATTGTTTCTGGCACATAGTCAACATCATATCACTACATAAGCAGTTACGCTACGTAAAAGTAAATTAAAATTATGAGAAAATGACGTGTCAAATACTTTTCAGAGAAAATTTGTCCTTTTCTCCTGAGATCTTAGAGAATATGCCAAATATTGAAGAGAAGGAGGGAGGGAGAGAGGGAGGGAGG